TCGTTTGTTGGCCATTTTTTCTGGAGTGTGACACAAATGTGAACATGATACTGCCAAATCAATCAAGAACCAGGATACGGCTTGGATACGCTGAAACTTTGTAAATCGTCCTTTTTTCAATTGTAAACTTTATTCCAGTGTAATAAAGGTATACCTACATGTACCATAAAAATTGTATCGCATCACTTTGGAAAATTACGCTAAATACATGTACTAAATACTAAACAAGCGCACATATTGTATTCATTTACAGCATGGATTTAAAAAAAATGACTCGTGGAATCACAAAGAAACTGTTAAGTACGTATTTCACACATTACCGAGGACCGCGGTAGAGACCGGTACAGCGGTAGAGACCCCTAATTATAAGCAGTCCGCGGCTCTCCCCGGCGTTCTGCGGTACACCGCGGTAATGACCGCGGTGCACCGCCCGTTTGATTTCCTACTCTTCCCTAACAAACCTGTCTATTGTTCATACACAGTAAATGCACTGAAAACAGACCAGTTAGCAAAAACTGAAATGTATACATACATATGTAAACGGCATTTCATAATCCCCACTCATGCGCAATTTTTGTCTTGATTTCCCAGTACTTCAAATACAACATTAACCATATTTTCTTCATTATAAGTGTGTCCAATTACATAAGAACTCTTTCTTAAAGGCATTTTGAGCCAAATTCAAGATTTGCACTACTGATCATGTTAGTGCACATATAAGTATTGTGGGAGAGAACTTCCTATCCTCAGAGGCGGACATCCATCAACCATCGCAGTGAAAACAAAGGCCAAAAACTCTCAGAAAACTGTCCTTTTGGAACAATGTAACAAAATTAGCCCTGCATGTGTATTAAACATATATAAATTTGATTGTTCAGGATTACTTCAAAGTTGAGTTTCTGTTGTTTTCTCAAATTTTCCCGCGTTCCTCAGCAGCACAGAGCCCATAGAAATACATAGTACAGTGGTGCGCGTCTTAGCAACATGGAACGTCTTGTGACATAGCTCCGCCCCTAAGGATTGCATTATAGTGGAAGACTTTTAATCACTTAGAAACTGACTAAATTGTATGTCCAGTTCCACAATAAAACTTAAATAAGTTATTTACTATGTGTGGAATTTCTCTAATTCTCTTAGCACAGTTCTTTCTAAACTTTCTTCAAATTTCATTTTTAGTAGCCTGATGATATAAAGTTATAATAATGAAAGCATGACAAACATATAATCTTAATTTTGGCTCAAACTTCCTTAAAAAATCAATATTAATAACAAACCACAGTGTGTGCTAAGTATATTTTAAGAATCACCAATACACACATGTTTTGCAATTGTGCTAATGGAATAAATATATTATTTGCATAAACTTATTGCAATTGCATGTCTGGCTTTCACTGTATTGATGGTTATAGCTACCAATGTGTTCCATAAATTGTAACTTGAATTGATCAGCTACCAATTTAGAACAGGTACCGGTAGTTAGGTTTATTATGGCTCTCAGATTTGTTATTTTATCTTGCTGTACATGTATGTAAACCCATTTGATTTAATGATGTATTGTAACTTTGAGGTGTTCATTTCACATATCGTATTAGTTTTCATCTTTGCATCAGTTATTGCTCATATTAATAATTGCTTTCTATGTGGGTTTACAGTTCTTACATGGTGCTGTGATGAAAACAATGAATGAAAGCACATTGTATGCCCGTATACAAAGCACTGATCAGACTGATGGCAGAGGAACTCTGTCATCACCAGTAGGACACGCTGTTATTGGCTACTTTAAGTCATGTGTTAATGCACTGGATACAGATATTGATAAAGGTTAGCTTTATTTTCACCACTGATCATAATAAATATACATAATTCAATATATACAGTGGTAGAAAAATACGAATGAATATAAATATGGTTCTTTAAGAACACTGGTGCATTATAATTTCTTGCCTCCATGTTGCAAAGTTTTAGCGATTATGCTGGAATTTTATGATTGGTATATAACTTATTCAAAACTGAAAAAAGTCTATGCACAGATGCATTTTTATGTAGAATGATGATATATGTGTGTATCATTGATATTACTTTGCCAGCTGAGAACCTTCCCAGAAAGCCGAAATAAATAGAAAAAACTGCGTATACAGGAGATGTGTTAATTAAATGCTTCACGTTGTTACTGCAAGATGCATGTACAAGCCATGGATGGTGCTACCTAATGGAATATCACCATATCTTGTTTGTATTTAATAGTTGATTTTATTAATGGATTACTGGTAGCAATGGCTAATCTGGGTGGTTGGGGTATGGTTCCTATGATATACACATCACAAGCCTTGGCCAATATACCAACCTGTAAAGCATGGAATTGGACATCTCTGAAAATTGTAAGGTAAGTCATTAGCATAGTAGGTCAGAGGTCATGGAATTAACTTTTGTTTTTTGTCACACCTTAATTTTCCAGGTGAATTAGCTAGAAGTTGTTTGAATACAGACAGTTCACATTGATTGTTTGGAGGTTCCATTCTGATAACTTGGAGCTGAATATTGCTGATAACATATTGAGTGCTTGCTACCTTGGATAACTTTTGGACGTAACATATTTTGTCAATGTGCAAATTGTTTTGATTTGGATTTTATGTATGTACGTCTAATACAATAGGCTGAGTTACTTTAATATTTTCTACATCTTCTACAAGTTTGATCTGATGGTTGGCATGTTTACCCATTGTCATGGAGATTGTAGGTTTGACTCCAATAGCCAACTGCACACCAAACAGTGCCAAAAAGAGTATATTCTGTCCACTTGCTAAGCTGGCTGCATTCGTATTTGGAAGAATGTCGTCTTTCTTGATAGCGACATAAAGCTGTTAGTTCCATGTACTGTTTCTATCCTTGGTACATACTATCCAGTTATACTTGTCTTTAAGAGTAGCAGTTTCTGTTATAGACATCTGATACATTCCTCTCAATACATGTGTATGCTTGAGTTGTACTGCCCATTATTTCTGTTTAGATCCAACCTGTTAACCAGAACTTATACCCGGTAGTATGAATGTGTAATGTCTTCAATCCGGTAAATACTGACTAATTACAAAAAATTGTTTTTGTTTCTTCTAACTTATCCAAAAATGATGAAACACTTGACATGTATGTAGACCCCTACATGTGTATAAAATGTTCCATGGGTTCATTTGCATAACTGTTAACAGATAAATCAACAAATTTCTGTATGTTCTGTATAAACAACTTTCTTTGCTGTATGTTTTTAATTAATAATATTTTCATATTTGTTTTCATTTTTTGTGTTTAGAGAGATGTTAACACTTGGATATAAAACATTACCTAATCATCTACGAGGTGCTCTATCATATTACCTGGTAGAAGGTGTATTGAATCTAATGAACACATCTCAAGTAACTTTACAGCAGTTTGCTGTTATCATAGGAACATTAGAAACTTTACAAAGAGGATCCCTGATGTGGGTGAAGGTTAGTATACAAAGGATTCATACCGTCTCATCTGCTAGTATTGTTATTTATAGCTGGATTTTATTTTCACAGAAAAGAATTTTTGTTTTTTTTTGTATGGAGTTTATTTTCATTGATTTTTTGATAAGTAAAACGTAGGAGAAATAGAATCTTTACTAAATTTTATTTTCAATGGGTCATCTGTTGAGCGAACATAAATTCCTAACAAAAAAATGTACACCAGATGCTTCCAATCAGAATTGAGTATGTATTAAACCCAACATAAGAAAATTATTTTCTGTTATAGCATTCTCTGTGTTTCATATCCAAAGCTGGCACCTAGATTGTATACTAGGCAATAACTGTATGTGTGCTTGCATTAAATAGATACTATTCTTTAATAAATAACTTTTACAAATGCAATATGCTATTCTATTTGAGGTATAAAATTACTGTTACATTTCTCATTGAATTCATATCAATCTTCTTGTATGTTTTAAATATTGCTACATTTATTTGTGATTCTTTGTTCACATTGTGTTCATTTTTGAACTGTCTCTGTGTCTTGGTAATCAAAGACTAGTCTATAAACTCAGTTTAATCCAGAAACATTTCAACCAATTGTGTTAAAAACTAAAATAGATTGATACAGATAGATAGATGTTTATTCCAAACAAACAAAAAAAGCAAGTCTTAACAACGCACAAAATATAAATAAACAAAAATAAACAAATAGAATAGGGGTCGAAAATAGTTGCAATTAGCAACTAATCAAGTCCAGCCCCTGTGTTGTAAATGACAGATTACAAGATATTAACTGGGCGTTCACTTTAACATAACGCCCTGAAAATAAGAATAGTAGTGAGACATTTAAAACAACCTGGAAGTGCAAGGAACGCAATTTAATAAAAATATTATTTTTTATATATTTTTAAGTTGGAAATTATGTATAACTAGCTTGTAGGTAATTGTTGTATTCCTTTTTAAAAGTAATCCTACAATGTATGTTTGATATGTACCTGTTCTGTTTGTGTTTTGTTTTTGTGTCAGATGTCTACCCACTGGCCATTTTTCATGTAATTTATGTGATATGTGTGAACACATTTTATTCAACTTTGACTATCAATTCTCATTTCAGTTGCAAAATTGGTTAAAAGCAAATGGACATGAATTTCACAGGTCGAGTGATTCCCTGTCATTATCTCAAACATTGCACAACGATGTAGTGAATTGTCTCAGTGAGAAAGAAAATGACAATTATGGCGGTAGGTGAAATAAACTGTCAATTTTTACTCATGGCATTGATTCATAGAACTCTGTACAATGTAATCAACCTAGGATTAGTAGAAAAGGGAATTGTCTTTACTGTTAGCTAACATACTTGTAATATCAGTTTTTATAATCTCTTTTTACAGGCAGTATTGATGTTGGATATCTTGCTACAGTGATATTGTTGTGTTCAGATGCTCATTTCAGTATGGATTCCCCTGAGAAGTAAGAACATGCATAGTTTGAACTCATTGCCAGCCATAGTAACATTTTGTAGAGCTGGTGGATAATGTCATGGGATGTATAATTATTAGTAGATTATACAACCCATGATGCCATCATCAGCTTCATGGACAAGTGATAATATTGCATTACCAGCTTTCAGTGCCAAAATAGAGAAATTGTACTTTTACCTAACTGTGTTTACAACTTACCGTATTTATCCGGGTATAAGCCCAGGGTCCTGAACATGGAAAATTGCCAAAAAATAGGGGTAGGCGTTTGCCAGGAGATCCCCGGCAAAAAAAACGAAAATTCGCGAAAATTGACAACACGCAGATCGAACTGTGGCAGGGAATAGAATGGCAAATGAAAACATGCAACGGAAATAAATGAACAATATGCAACACTAGAAGTAAAACAAAACTAATGTATTGCTTATAATGTGACAAATAAACCAGAAATAATAAAAATCGACAGTGAGGAATTATTTGAATTAGGATTTTCCCGCCGACAAACACACCCAATACGCGTGAACTCAAAATAAGTGCCATTTTACCACTAGATCTAGTGCCATTTTACCACTAGATCTAGTGCCATTTTACCTATAGATCTAGTGCCATTTTACCACTAGATCTAGTGCCATTTTACCACTAGATCTAGTGCCATTTTACCCCTAGATCTAGTGCCATTTTACCTATAGATCTAGTG